ATTTTTCTTTGAGGTTACCCTGTGATTTATAATTTTCTCCCTGAGTTTAGAACAGTCCATTCTATCTTGCAACTCTCTTGACTTCCTCACCATTTAGAAGTTCTGTAACTACACAGTATTTTCCCTCTTTTTGGTTTGTAGTTCCCCTCATCTGCCAATTGATATCTCTGGTTCCCGGTTTACAATCTTGTAAGCTTATTTTACTCTGGATACTTCCATAGCTATGTTGATTTCTGGGTTATGTCATCTAGTGTATTAATGGTTGGTAGTTGTTTGCTATTACTGGCTTTCTGTTCAAAGGACTCCCTTTAGTATCTCTTGTAAGGTTGGTCTGGTTTTAACAAATTCCGTTAACTTCTGCTTTTCTGAGAATCTAATTTCACCATCATATTTGAGTACAGTTTTGCTGGGTATATAATTCTTGGTGGGAAATTTTTCTCTTTTGGGGTTTTATATATACCATCTCATTGCTTTCTTGCTTGCATGGTTTCTGCTGAGAAATCAGAGCTTATTCTTATTGGTTGTCTTTTGTAGGTAACTTTTTATTTTTCCTATGCTGCTTTCAGGATTCTTCCTTTGTCTTTGGTTTTTGATGAGTTTGATGATGATATGTCTTGGTGATTTTCTTTTGGGGTCTATCCTGTTTGGGGTTCATTGCACTTCCTGAATGGATATAGTCTCATCTTTCATCATCTCAGGGAAATTATCTTCCAGCAAATATTGGGCAATTTTTTCAGTGATTTTCTGATTACACATAGGTTATTCCTTTTGATGGTATCCCACATGAACCTTAGGCTTTCTTCATTTTATTTTGATCTTTTTTCTGATTGATCCCTTTCCAAAGAAGTATTCAGGTATTTATTTGTCTTCAGTCTCATTAATTCTATCTTCCATTGATTCATTTCTACTCCTTTGCCCTTTCAATGTGTTATCTATTTCTGAAAATTTAGTACTAATCATCTAGATTTCTATCTGTAGATTTTGTATTGTTATAATTTTTCTTTTCTTTTTCTTTTTTTTTTTTCCCCTTGTATTGTCTTTTGAAATTGTTCTAAGGTTTTCTCTGTGCTTTTCTTAATTTTGTCAGTGTTTTCCTTGATCTGTTTTTCAATCCTTTGAAAATACCTAAGTATAATTTTTTTGAATTCCTTATCAGGGAATTCCAATGCTGCTTCTTCCTCAGGGATGTGTTCTGGATCTGTATCCTGCTCCCTTGTTTGTACTGCTTTATCTTGCTTCTTTGTGTGGACTATGATGGTCTTTTGTCTCCAAGACATTGTGATGGTGTTGTATTTAGATCTCTGTTAACCATTTGTGAAGAGCAGTTCAGGGTGAATCAGGCTCTTCTTGGTGTCACTTATCTTTGGCCAGTTGGTGGAGAAGGAAGTGGTGGCTCTCACCCGGTAAGTGGAGCTGCAGGAGGTGTGGGTGTGGTTGCATTATATGGGCACTGTTGTGGCAGTTAGACAAAAACAACAATTGAAAAGCCATCAAAAAAATAAAAGCAAGTGGACAAATATTGGGGAGGGGGCAATAAGAGAAAAGAGGTGCAGTAGGAGAAGAATGAAGAAAAAATGGGAGAAATGCAAAAAGAAAAACAAGGAATGGGGTTAACCAT